CAACCAACTGATTGGACCTTATCAGTGTGGCTTCAGACCTGGTAAATCAACCATTGACCAGATATTCACTATGCGCGAAATATTGGAAAAGACCCGTGAAAAGAGGACACACATCACCGCTATGTCTGAATTTGGCATCACCGCAAAACGTATACGGCTATGTAAACTGACGTTAAACAATTCTAAAAGCTTCGTCGGGATCAGTAATGACCTCTCCGAGCCGTTTCATAATAATACGTGCTGCAGAGCTGAATAGGGAATGTACAATATTTTATAAGACTCCACAGCTGCTGGAGTACGCCGATATATTGACATTCTCCAAACTGGATAAGGAGGCGAAGGATATGGGTCAGCCTTGAAATTCAGCGCAGAATCACTCTTGCCAACAGGTGCTACTTTGGATTGAGTAGGCAATTGAAGAATAAAGTTCTCTCCCGACGAACGAAAACCAAACTCTGCAAGTCGCTCATCATTTCCGTCCTGCTATATGAAGCGAAATAAGGGATGATGCCAACAACTGATGAGTCGGCGTTAGGAGTTTTCGAGAGAAAGGTTTCGTATATCAATTATGGTTCTTTGCACGTTGGCAACGGCGAATACCGCAGACGAAGGAATGATGAGCTCTACGAGTTATACGGCGACATTGATATAGTTCAACGAATCAAGAAGCAGTCCATTTCATCATCTTTTATGAATATTTTTGGAAATAGGTCTTAAGTGCAATTAAACTGTTGAATATGATATCTATCCAGGTCTTATGCGCCGACTAGTTTATTGTTCTTGTTAATTGATGGAAATGGACAATATTTCATCGTGTTTCTTAATGAGTAACACCACTGTAGGTATTAACAAAACACGAATTTTTATTAGCTTATTACTTTCTACAACAACTCGAGAGTCCTAAATTGTCGGGTCGATCCGATACCAGATTCGCAGCTTTGGGAAGGCTGATCGCTCTATGATTTAAACGGAGCTTTCTCAAAAGTTATTAAGTGTCGATTTTTTCCATCAAAAATTAGTTTTTTTTAAGCGATTGACCGTCTGAGACGTGTCGACACGGCCAACATTTGAAAGAGATAATCATCAATAAATAAATGCCAAAGACTGTTATTTCAAATGATAATGAACATTCTTTAAAAAAAAGTAGGGAATCTCGAAATGCACCACCTTATTTCAGATTTGAATTTTTGGCTGGTAAATCCAACAGCCGCGGTAGCCGAGAGATCAGTACTGCCATTCGGAAGGATCGGCTGGGCAAGGAATATCAACCCCTCCGGGGGTTATAAAGCGTCAAAAAATCATCTAAAAGCTACTAATCTAGGGCACCTCCGAACGGCTGATTAAGTTTTATGAGAAGTTGTTTATGTTTTTATGTAAGAAATACACTCAGAGGGTTGACATTTCATGCCGAGAGGCGATTGCATTTAGAAAAACTAATTTTTTAAATTTAAATTTCTATAATTTTGCATGTTAACCTACGCGGAGTTTGAAGCCATAAGCTCTCTTATGGCAATTTTGCACTGCTAACCGATCGGCTAATGCGGTCACCACATTTGGTCACTAATAAAAAATTCAAGCTTTAAAACAACAAAAAAACATTCTAGTCACTTTTCGAAAACTCGAACAATTTTAAATAATGTGAAATAAATATATTGAATTAATTAAAAAGAATAAAAAGTAAAACAAGAAAAATCGAAATGTTCAAAAAAAAAAAGATTAAACAATAAATATGCGCTGTCTTTGGCGGAGTCGAGCGCTTTATTTTATACCTTTCATGAAGTTATTTAACGCTAAATTTCATATCTGCATAAACATTTAAATAAACATTTGGATATATCTATCTAATATATATGTTGCAGTTGTTGTAGGATACATATTATACTCCACCGACTTCGGTGGTTTTCTACGAATATGAAAAATATGTACGAGTATGAATGCAGAACGCATTCAGAGTTCTGTCTGAGCAAGAGGGAATTACACACAACCGCGTATTATTATACTTCATAGTTTTAATCAATATGCTTTAAATTTTCATGTTCATACAAATTATATAAAAAACACGTTTATGAATATATTACAAGTTTTTTTTTCAGCTTGAGTTGTTTCTTTAGTTGGCTTTAGTCAGACTAAATCAATAAATAAGTCTTGAATAAACTAGTTGCATATGAAATGCAGCAACTTGACCATGACAGAGAAAATTTTATATACACGATTGCATATACATTTATACATTCATACATACTCGTACATATGTATGTTTGTATGTATGTATATTTTATACTTATTTTGGGATGATTGTTGTTGTATAAACGTATATGAAATTTTTTATTAAAATAATTTTTATGAAATTAAACTAATTTATTAAAAATCTGATATTGAAATCAATATTATATTGAGTAGGCCTAATCTCTTCCCCTTTTATAATATTTTTGCAAATTATCGGTTTTCTTCTTCCTCTTTATTTCCGTAGACACCGTTAATGCGATTATTCCTTCTATTCGCTGTTTGGCGCCAATTGGCAATACCAAATATAGTCAGGTCAGGTCCTTCCCTACCTTCTTGATTCGCTCTACTATATTAATGGCGCCATATATCTTGTACATAGAACTCATCGTTTCATCGGCTGCGGTACTCGGCGTTAGTAACTCGTAGAGAACCGTAAATCTATCTTTCGAAAACTCCTAACGCGGTGTCATCAGATGTTGTCTGCGTCGTCTTCGTCAATGCCTCCGACGATGAGCGACTTGTAGAGTTAGGATTTGTCCGTCGAGAGTCTAGTCTCATATGCGTTATCTGATATTTCGTCTTGCCCTCGTTCATATGCTTCGCTTACTTATCAAGTCTAGAGAAAACAGAACTCACAGCACAGTTGTTGAGATATCAATATCATCGGCATACGCCATCTGCCAGAAGTACCGCTTATAGAATATTGTACCATCTCTAGTCAGCTTAGAAGTTCGTATTTTTTTCTCCAGCATACTCGTATAATGAAAGAAATCACGCGATAAATAGTTACTCTGTCTGAAACCTGGTTTGGTCCAGAGTTGGTTTACCTAGTCGTATAAGTTTTGTGGGGATACCAAATTCGAATGTAGCGGCGTAGAGGTACCTACTATCCATGCTGAGGAAGAGACTTTAAAGTCGATACTGTACAATCGATACTTTCATGCGCATGAAAGGTATAATAACTTGATTTCGATTCAATTAAAATTGACTTGAATTTTATTCTACTCAAGGTCGTTCGGCAAGTTAGATAGCTTTCTGTCGCTAAGAGCATCGTTATCTATGAATTACTCTATTATTTATTGTCACTTGGTTGCACCTGAAAATAAAGCGGAAGCCATATTATAATCGACTTCCATCTTCGGATCTAACCATCAACATACACATGTACTGAAGTCGTGTTGATACTGTGGGCCTTCACCAACTACGCGCAGAGTTGTGCAAACATTTGATATGTATGTGTGTATGTACGCAAATGTTTGATCTGCTAAGAACAAGCATTCGTATTATATTTTGTCTGAAGGTAATTTCAAAATTTATCTAAAGATTCAACAATGTGATGCACACAGAGCTTCGTATTTTTTTGTGATTCGATGGAGGGATATGCAGATTTAAGTCTCTAAATGGCACAAAGACTTTTATGAGGAGTTTATTGTGATCGAGCGACCCGTCTGCAAGGGAGTATAGATGTAGTAGATGTCTTATATCTACGTCATGTTGGTCAAGACAGCTCGGTGATACCAAGGTAGCAAAATCGAATGAAGGGGCGGGTATTGCCGAGTGGTAAGTTACTATAAGCTTCGGGGTCAGCGTTACTGGGTTATCAGCACCTACCAGCTGCGGAACCACACCAAGGAATAGCATGGTCAGCAAAAAAATTATAATTTCATTCAGAGATGTCACAGTTCTAAAATCGGCAAGCCCGCTGCTTCTGGTGTTTCTCTATCTACTATCCGATTTCTCAATTACTGATCATACTGCCTGGAACAGCTCAGACTGTAATTATGCCGGCCTGATTCTGTTCGACCAATTTAAGTGCGATAAGTCTTAAGTCGGGATCAGAGGTTTGCTTGGAACGCTCAATATCTGATCATAGATTCATTAACTTCGAGTTGAACATCGGTGGTTGTCACCTACCGGTACATGGCAACAAAACTAAAACCAACTGTTTGTGTACGTAACAACCTTGGATCCCTCACTAAATCAATTTGTTGGCAGTGAGGTTTCTGATATTTAGCACGCTAATCCCAGGTAATTGACAGAGACCATAGGTCCACTTTAATATAGATTTCGTTCTAGAAATGATAAAACAAGAACCTTCCATAGCGAACAATTCGATGCTTCTACGCTTTCGTCTGCGAGCAGCCGGGTGCTATATAAGGCGACACTCAGCTGCAAGAAGTTAGTTACAAAGTGAGCTCGTTGGCGTTAACATCAGTGAAGACGTAAAGTGAACACGTTGGGAATTACATTTAAGTAGAGTAAATTGTGAAAGTTGATGCAAGTGATTGTAGCTAGTAAAGTGTCTTGTAATTGAATTGTGAATCACTGAGTAAATAAAAGACATTAGATAGAATCTTTATAACGAAAGAAACTGCAAATTAAGTTGGCGAGTTTTATTTAACAATCCAGAGATCGTACCCGAAGGATTCAGGAAATCATTGAGGTTGATTTAGTAAAATCGTAACAATACCTTCCTTGACGCTTTGCTACAAATATTATCGAAGTTTCATAGACTATACATTGTCTTACTTTCGGATAAAATACAACTCTGAAATTTATTTTGCAACTCGCTACTCGTCATTTTGACAAAGTCGTCTTTATTTAACTCGCTGTTTTCGACAGTTGTCAACTTCAAAGCAAATTCCTTCTTTTGTAAGGTCGCAAGTGGTAAGCAATAGTATCACGCATGCTGTTTTGCAAAAACTTTCATTTAGTGTACATTGCATTTTAATTCTATACATTTTTTTTTGGCATATTGACGATTGAAGCTGTTGCTTTTGCTTTGCAAGTGCGCGATCACAACACAATGGCTGATTTAGATGATTTCTTTGCCAAGAAGGACAAGAAAAAGTCCAAGGCCAAGCCTAAATTTTTAACTGCAGAGGAGCTTGTAAAAAACTTGGAAAAAGAAGCTGCAGCAGTAGCAGCACTTACAAAACTGAAGAAGGTGGAATCAACCATCCCTACGCCAGCCGCTGTGCCCGGAGCTACAGAAGAAAGCGTTGAGGTAGTGGAGCAGGTTAGTGTTGCATATAAAAAAAATAATTTCTATTAATATTCGAACTTAATAAATTATTGTTTATAAACTTATAGCCTGCCGAAGAAGAATGGGACGATTTCGAACAAGAGCAACGTAAAGATTACACTGGCCTGAAAATTGGTCAACTAAACTTAAATGATGAAGAAGATGAGAGTACAGCAGACGGTGAAGAAGATGAGGTGGATAGCGATGGAATGGTTACTGTTGAAACTACTACCTCAAAACGCAGTGGGGGCGGTCCATGGAGAAAAGTTATACCTGCTGAGGAAGTAACTCAAATACCAATGGAAATGGATAAACCCTCATCCAAACTGTACATTTCACCTGCATTACGAGCAGCTGTAAGTGTTACAAGATCAGTGATGAATAATAGTTGAAAAAAAATTTGCCACGTCAATTTCGATAGATTTTTTTTATTGTACGTATTTAAAAACCTTAATATTGATTTCAAAAATTGCTTCCTTAGCAAGCGGGAGCAGCGCCGGGACCACGATTAAAGCCGCGTAATCGGGCAGCGCCTGACATAACTAATGCAGAGTTCTTCCCCTCTTTGAGTGCCGCAAGGCCCGAAGAACAGCGTAAGAAAAAGAATGAACCAGCTTTTGAAGAGGTTAGACACGGAGGCAGGGTGCAGCATATCCATGAACAAGCTTCAGCGCCTGTTTCCAAGGCGAATCGATTCCAGTCGCTGGACGAGGACGACAGCTAGAAAGCAGAATGAGCAATTGTAACTTCTATTTGAATTAATTTTTTTTTTGCTATTTTGTCTTGAAAAGAATTTGAGGATTCTGAAATCTATATGTATTGTATGTAACGTATGCTTTGTATCTCTAACTATTTTTTTTAACTTCCCAGAGCATTTTATTTTCGCAATTTTTATACTTTGTAAACTGGAGTGCTGAAATGTGGTACCTGAGCGGCCGCCACTTTTCATAATTGTCCGAGACCTGCCGCTTCACAATAGAAATTATGATATTCAATTAGTGGTAGGGACATTAACTTCCAACAACCAAACAGCTCTCACAAACCATAATGTTAAGTGAGAAATCTATAAAAACAAATAAAAATACATTGAAGTCAACTGCTATTATGAAAATATGCGTTTACATTTTTGAAAGTTTATTGCATACTTTTTGTTACGGATCTATTGATTCCTCCAACATGCATATATTAATTACGATTTTCAGGAATAGTGACGTTTTTTATCAGATTTAACTCGTTTTCCACTTACATATCGGACTTGGTGCTATCCAAATAACTGCAAAATTAAAATTTAAGTTTAGCGAGCGATGATACCAAGATTTACATTTAAATTGTTATATACAAGAGCAATCATTTGATATTTAATAGTTCATGTCATCGCTAGCTTTTACTTCAGACAGCCTTTCTGACCTTTCGCAATATGGTTGTGCTTCCGTATTGTGGTACGATTCAAGATGGCACTTGGACAGGAGGTTCTCTGGAAATTCCTTAATCAAGTACAGCCAACAATCAATCGATCTGCAAATGAGTATGATTAACTTTTCCGCAAAGGTAGACCAGACAATTTGTTTGCGCTTACTCATTATCTTTGCTTTTCACTTGCTGAATCTCGCGATCATAATAGTTTGGGTAATCTTCTAGAACATCAAGGTTTGAAAACATTTTACTGTCTACTTCATACACTTCTCCGCATATATTGTGACCCAATCCAGGTTTGTTTAGTAAAAATGGAATGTTGTAACGAGTACCGATCACCAATGGAAACTTTTGAACGGTTCTTGCTTCGCACAGGAAACGGGAGAACCCATTTTCTGAATTCGTGAGCCAATAATGATTGGGCTCCCCGCGCTTTAGGGTGCCGTAAACGAACACTTTTATGAGGTTTCCAGTCATCTTCGAAGTCATAGTGTAACTGTAGAGCTTAGTAGTTACTTAAGACCCAAATAAAATCATAGAAAAGCTCTTAGCGAAATGATAACAAATTTATTGTGATTATTAGTTTCAGTGTACCCGGAGTTCATCAATGATGCACTTTTAAAAAAATTCGAAAAGCGTCAAGGATGAAGCTCATAATAGAAGAAATTAGTTGCATATATACCGATATTCGGTAAAATTTTTGTTTAGAGCCACAGGCTTTCGCAAATAAATTTTATATGGATGGAAAGAGGAAAAATCATAGATTCTAAAACTAATTTTCTTTTATTTAGCTGACTTATAGTTTTTTAATAATTCTATTTTAAATTTCGAGTAATAAATGCAAAATTACGTCTACATTGGAGTTGCCGGACTACTAAGTAAAATAATACTTAAGTACAGAGCTTGTGTGTTTGTATTTTGGCTAGGCANCAAAAATGAAAGAATAGTGACCGATTCATAAAGAAATAATGGAATAAAGTTAACACTTTATAACAACAAATAACTTATAAACTTTAATATATTCAAATTCCAAAAGTTAAAATATTGGAAAAATATATTTCTGTCATCATTCCTACGAAGTTTCATGTCGAAATTCCTGGTTGTTTGCTTACAATATCAAGTGGGGCTGCATATCAAAGCTCAGCCCGATATTCAAAACTAATTCCAACCTACTTTACTTTTACTTTTCAACTTGTACTGATTTGAAAGAAGACAAATATTTCCAAATCGGAACTGTCATGCTTTTTCGTACAGCTGGCATCACGAATTAATAACCCATATGTGCGCAGTTTTTTAAGCCTTGCAAAACCAAATAATTTTGTATGCACAAACGACATGAAGACTTTAATATGGAACGTTTTTGTATAATAAATTTGCTGTAATGTGGAGTTTACCACTTTTTAAAGCTTTGTTAATTGGATTTCGAATAGCTTTTTTTTATGTTGGGAATGAACGAAATCAGGTGCTGTTCTATAAGCTGCTTCGATTTTTGAGTGCAGTGCAAAGTTACAATCAAACGAATTTTCGAGCTATTTAACGACGTTGTCACATCACATCCTTTCATTGCTCGGAAATACTCAAACAAAATATATGAGCAAAAAGTTTTGACATTTCGAACGCTGGAATAATTTACATTCTATTTGTTTATATGTAGATTCATAGACCAATATCGTTTTGACAAAGAAGCCTTTGTAATAGTGCTGGATGTCATTGAAGACCAGTTAGATAGGCTGTCACATGTGGGATAATCCACCTTGCAGCCACACTGCGGTTTTTGGCAGAAGGCTACTATTAACAGTCTGTGGGACTGCTTAGCTCGACCTACAGTCTTTGAGGTTATAACAGAAATACTAAAGGATTTTGAACGTTTGAATTGTACACGCTGAATAATTTTAGGAACGAACGACAATGGAAAACGGGGAGTTCTCGTTCATTTTAACATCAAGTACCGTGTTCCAGGCGCTGCTGGTTGTAAAATCCATTCTTCATAACTTAAATTTTTATTAAATTTCCGCTTTCAAAGAAATTCGCACACAATTCAATAGCCGAACGCTTTAATTCTGACACTTAAACCAAGAAATCAGTTTCTGTAACAACTAAAATCGACATAAATTCTGTTTTCAAAATGAGATCGATATGCAAACCAATAATCGGAATGTGTAAGGCTGCAACTACCCAACTCACTCTCCAGTTGTCCATAACTGACGACGTTAGTAGTGAAATACATACACGAGCTATCGACGCCGCTGAGAGCGGCGAAATGTTGCCAGCTGCCTGTGTGTTTGCACACTTTTGAACAAATTCATAATTTTCGTCAACGAATTTCATAATTTATTTGCTTTAACATAAACACAAGGCAAATATACATGATCTATATAGTAACAAATAATTAGTTAAGCATTTAGTTTTCATTTCTTTTGAACAAAACTACGCATTATCTTCGATTATTTAATGTTACTTTAAGAAAGGCTATACTGGCAACCTTGTATAGCAACAAAAAATGAGCCGAGCCGGTTTTACGGAAAAATCAAAACTTCGTTGGTTTCTGCGACACAAACGTCAGCAACGCTATGGTAAATCGGTGACAACTTTGTGTTTACATGGCGCTCTCATAAGATAGGTTACTATGGACGGCTGGTACGCGCGTTGGGTAGTTGCAGCCTAACACCTTTAACAGAATTTCGTCGGTTTCAATTCTGATTCCGACAACAATCTGTGTCTGTAACACCCCTGAATATATGCTATTTGGTGTACCTAACACTAATAACTGAGTAACCTTTCTTAACGAACAATTTCTTGCAAATTTAATAAAAAAAAACAGCCACTTTCTCTTCCATTGTTTTATTTTCTTCGACAATGACGTCAAGGCAGTAAATAAATAGTTTGTTTTGATTTATGTGACCTGCTAAATGACAGATCTCAAATTTGATATCTTTTTGTGACAGACACTAGTGTCCGTGTTGCTAAGTGAATACCAAATAGTATCAATTTGATACTTCAGAGACAAAAGTATCCAATTGAAACTAGCAGCATAAATGGAGGAAATTGAACAGCCTGATGAATGAATTCTAATTCTAAAGACCCACGACGTAATTGTTGTCCAACGATTCACTACGATGCGATTGAGGGGTTGTTTTTGTTCTTAGTTTGTAAATTTCTTCTATTTCATAACCGCCTGTACTGAAAATTTTTCAATAAAATGAACGTAGACGTTTTATTTGCTACATATGTATGTATGTACATATTTTGTATTCAGCGTCTCACACCGATTCATACCAATGGAAACAAAATCCTGTTCAACTGAAAATTCCATGCAATTGAGTTGCTCAGTCAATTAATACATATACACATATTTGAAAGCCCCACTATACTGAGATCGTAGTTTAGTGAAGTAGAGATACTATATGTAAGTATGATATTTGTGCATCTTCTACTACCACCGGAGAGGTTGGATGGTAGATGGTACACATTATAAAACCATATTACTGGCAAATGTCAGAGTAAGGACATAAATAATTCGTCGGAACATAGTCAGACTCAGTCTCAGCACCATCAATTCAACTATCAATTTGAAGGCGGTGGCTGCGGTAGCCCAGCATTACGTCGTGCCATTCGGAAGGCGACGGTTTGAGCAATATTCAAAAGTTGTAGAAAATTAATTTAAACAAAAAATTAAGCAAAATTTTCTAAATGCTGTCGCTACACGTCAGGGAATTTCAACCCCTCCGAGTGTATTTTTGGCATGAAATAATAGGCCCCTCATAAAAAACCGTCAGCCGTTCGGAGGTGGCTTAGTATAATCGGTAGGTCCTTCAATTTGTTGGAAAAACATTAAGACGCATACCAAAAATTGGAATAGGAGCTCGGCCAAAAATCGCGTAAGCGTTCACAAAGTGCCAATTATAATTTGAAAGGGGTTATAATGTCGGTTCGGTTAAATATACATACATACATATATGTGATCACAAAACTTTCTCCATGTTTTGGGTTTATGAAACGTTTATGCGTTTTTGCTTCGACTTTTGTATGTATATAAGTACATCGCACTTCTTACAAGGTTGATCAGTTACAAGTGGAGTTACAGCCATGAGTTATTGTGTCTTATCCTTGCTTTGTTTTTATGATGAAATAACCAATATATTTTTTAATCTTTTATTTCATTGTACATATATATACATATATATTCTTCTTATCCAATTATTTTTTTCGCAAATTTCTAAAAATAATTCTAAAAACGTTTATATTTTGTTTCTTGTTTTATTTTTTTACAAAAGAGTACTTAATTCATGATCATAAGATTTTGGACAATATAATGAAGACCAGACGTATATTTATTTGTATGTCTAAATTACACGACTACATTACGACTAAAGTAAGTTCAGCTAATATCAACTTTGGAATTCTCATAAGTTACTCTGCGCTGCTAGATTTCTCAAAGACAGTGGAAACAGTACGAGCATTCCATGCAATACAAGTTCACAGTAAGTAAATGCTAATCACACACAGCTGGCAAATGTCTACTACCAGTAGACGGACCATATGCATATAAGGTAAAGTATTGGTATCGGGATCGTGGTGGTTAAGCCGCGGTGTATGCGAGATCCTCTTGAGGTGGATGCTTATGTGTGCGACGATTGCGCATGACATAAGGGTGAGTGGCACTGTTCTCATAACTGGACAAATATGGCAGTGAGAGCAGCTTTTCTGGATACTTTTGCAATAAGTAAACCCAGCATGGTACGGTACTAGAGTAGATTAAATTAAAGAAGTATATTAAATAGTTTTAAATGGACTTCTTCGGCCAAACTTACCCTTCACCAACACCGATGTTCATATCTTGGACCTCACGTGTGAATACGTCCTGACAATCCTCCAAGTCATCCAGGGAATTCAACATCTTGTCGTCTACTTCGTAGATCTCGCCTAAAACGTAGTTACCAACACCAGGCTTGTTTAGCAAAAAGGGAATGTTGTAACGCGTGGCTATCACAAGTGGTAATTTTTCAGTGGTTGTGGCGCGGCACCAGAATTTCGCATGGCCATTACCGGAATTGGCGAGTATAGAGTGACCAGGTTGGCCATATTTCAAGGCGCCGCAAACGAAAAGCTTTTGCAGAGAAGAAGCTGCTTTCTGTTAAAGAAGAGAAAAGGAGAATTTATAAATAATAAAATTTTTTTTTTTTAGTTTTTTAGTTATTTGTGAATATTTCTAAGTAGAAATTAAAAAGTTTTAAGTATTATATATGAGCTGATGCGATTTTCTGCCGAGCTCCTCCTCCAATTTGTAGTTTTGCGTCTTGATGTTTTCCCAACAAATGGAGGGAACTACAGTTTAAACGAAGCCGCCTCCGAACGGCTGATGGGTTTTTTTTATGAGGAGCTTTTTTTCATGTTCGAAATACACTCGGAGGGGTGGACATTGTCTGCCGATAGGCGACCGCAAGTAGATGTTGCGACTTTTTGATGTTGGTGGCCGTGTTTATGAAATCATAAAGACTAGATTAATATTTGCAGAACCCTATCTAAAAGGTTCCAAATTATTTACTATGACATACTTTAGTTTTAAAATTGTTAATTTTAACAGAACTTGTTGCTGTCTATATCACTCTGATTCCAATAAAGAAATAATTAGTAAAACCTACTGCATTTGTTTAGTCATACATTTTTATATATGTATGTACATAGTACATAGCTTAAGTTAGGTTAGGTCGATCGACTCCTTTGGAAATCGCGCATTATAGACGCAAACTAATTCAGAGAATATTCACGCTAGTTGAAAGTGCTACTTTTAAATATATACATCATCATACAAAGTTACAGTGCGTTATTGAGATTTGGACTTTTCGACTTTTTGAAATTATAATTCGTATTTTATAAGCGCCGAGCTTTTCCTTCTACTGCCCACACGTCAACTACAGTCGCAGCGTATAATTGATGCAATAGTTGAGGCATCTAGAATAAACTTTGTGTGCTTAGGACTTATTATAAGTTGAAAGCAAAATCGTTAATTTCGAGAATTATTTAACGGTATTGTTATACTAAATAGAATCCAAAAAGGGGGGATACCAAGTGAACCAAGCATGTGCATGCCCACCTCCCATATGAAGAAGTTCTTATTTTCGTCGATTATATCGAAATTGATTGGAATATTTAATGTGGGAGCGAACCCAAAGGGACAAAGAGAGAAATCAAGAGCTTGCATATTTTAGATGTTGGGCTGACCTGAGCTCGAATTCATAATCCATTCATTAGTAGTGCGAATCGCTACCGACCGCGTCACAGCGGTAAAGAAAGTCTGTTTTGTTTTTCAATCTTCTTTCCTAAATTTGACACGTGTAAATCATAATATGCCCTTAGGTATGTATGTATGTACACATACATATGTAGGTACTTATTTCTATCTGATGATAGCTGAGTATGCATAAGTCTAGACTAATAAATATTTGACTTACTGAAAGTGTAAATTGCCATTGTGACGTTCCGGTTTACCCTGTCGCAATAATAAATGCAATGGATTTTAAAGAAAATTGCTAAGTCAATAAACGCTGATAAAGTATATGCATATGTATGTATAGAATGAGAAATGCATTTCAATTCCTGTAAATTCATGTGATTTTAAGTCTGTTTTTTTTAATAAGTAATTAATTTTATAATACTACGTACTCGTGCGCAAGTCATCCAAGCTAAAATTATATACTCGTATGTAGGAACGTATGTATGCATGTATGTATAAACATAATAAAAACGCAAGACAAATTGTGACTGATCATATTATTTATAAACAACTATTGCATCTTATCAATCTGAGTAATAGCTCTAGTCAATGAATGACATGCGAAATTTAAATATTAGGTGTAGTAAAAAGAAATCCATTATTTTTGCAATAAATTGAAGGCATTAATTTTTTTTTACTTTTCGAATCCAGCCTTATTCAAATGGTTCAAAATGGGCTTTTGTGCAATCTTGAGTTCTTGAGCAATCGAAATGGTGCTTACACGATCGGACATTTTCGACGATTGGCCTTCCACTCCATGAAGCATGTTTTACATCAAAATTACCGGAATGAAATTGTACATGCTTGACTATAACAGTATCAGGACTATGGACAATAACGACATCTCTTAAATAAAACCCGAGCGAACTTTTTACTTGATCTAATATAATTTTTGTTAAAAAATTTCATAATTTTTATGTTCGAATATAAACGCAAATCATATATACATGATCTATCAAACAAAAACAAAAAAAAAAAAACAAAAAAAGTAGTTCCGAATTTACTTTTTATTTCATTACTTATTACCTTAAAAAAACATTATACTGGTAACCTTGAACAACAGTGAGCAATGAGCTAAACCGGTCAAGATGAGTGTACCTATTTATTAATGTTTGTTATCATAATTAAAAATTTTATATTTTATTTATTTACATAAAATTTATTTGAAAATTTCATGTTTGATTGAAAGTGAAAATTATAATAATTTAGAAAATGAAAATATTTGAAACTTAAAATTCAGTAAGATAAAATCTGAAAAATTTTAAATAAAAAGTTATAAATTTTAAAGTAGTTTCCTACAACCGGTTTTACGGTTATACAATGCGAGATACCGATAAATAACGCCATCTATTAGAAAAATAATGGATTACTTTTTACTGCACCTGATTTGAAATTTGAAATGCGTTGAATTGAACTCTTCGAACAATAATATTTTTATATTTACTGTTTTTTAAATCTAAAAAAGGTAATTTCGTTTATAAAAATAGGAATAAAAAATATTTGAACTTTTTATTATCCCCAACGATGCCACTCATAAGCATTATAAATATTGTTGTTGCTTAATTAGTGTACAGCACCGAAAAGTTATTTTAATAATAATAATGTATAACAGAACAACAGAAACCTCTGCTCAATTTATTTAATTAGTAATATTAATGACTGAAATGGCGACCCGAAATGGATTATCATGGCCACAAATTAATCTATTTTTCTACTGTGAATTAATCGACACATCGTTGTTGTTCGACTGCCAGCGAAACCATAACAATTATTGTTTAATCTTATCACCGTTTCGTTACTTATTTTTGATAAAGTTTCTCCATAATGAAGTTAATTTTTTGAAAACGTAATAAATGATTTAAAATCTTAAATTCCTTCCATAAAATATGGTTGGTACTGAGACCAAATTGCAAATCTCTTTATGAAAATTTTCTTAAACCGTTGCGTTTTTTGCATTCAGTTTTGCTCGAAGTAGCAAAGTAGGGTACCTAGCCAGAAAAGTAACTAACGGTGATTTGTCTCTCGGGGAAAAAAGTCAATACCTTCGAGTATATGTATTTATGATATTCTTGAAATAAAGAAATATTTACATATATTGTATTATATACATGTCTGTACATACATGCATATACATATATATATGCTGAATGTTTATGAATAAATTTCTTCGCCACGAAAGTTGCCCAAGTTGTTTTCGGCATTCGCTTATGCCGCGCCTCCAACAGTTCGTTTAGTGCAGGAAAACGACAAAAACCGAAAACGAGTTTTTCAATATCGAGACACAGCTAACGATACAATATAATTACAATTATAACAAACTCCTACATACATAAAATGTTTATTGGTTGAAAAATGTGTAATAATGGTTATATTAAAACTTATGTCGAAGATTCGAAGCAAAGTTGTCTTGGTATTTTCTTGTGAACAACCATAATTAGGTTCTCAGTGCATCGACTCGAAGGGGTGAAGGAAATACCAGCATAATTGGAAATACTTTCACACGAAAATTATTACAAAATTAAAAAGGACAACTTTCCTTTTAAGGCGTTTAGTTATTTTTTTTTAATGCGTGAACCGAAATTCGAAGTATCTCTGAAAACGTTCAATACAAAAACAAGTAGGTCTCTATGTTTTGGTTTCCTTTCACTTTAAGCTGGGCTGCGGCTAATAAAATATGTATTTATATATTATATATTCTTTTTGAAGGCCAAAAGATAAATACAAGATGTATATACGGATATACGTATATTCCACGCAGGCAATAGACCTTGCAAATATTTTTGGACCATATGGTCCATTGAAATAACGTAATAGGTATTTCCACTATAGTGTACGTTTGGATCAACTCATGTCTCGCTACCAGCTAATCGTTAGCCGATGATTGGTCGTGTTTTAACGATGGCAAAACAGCTGGTAGCGTTACGTAAGGATTTTCAATTGTGCACAACATAGGAGTTCCCATTCTCGAATGACCATGTGGTAAACAAATGTGCGCAGGGTATACAATGTATGTATTGTATATATATACATAGGTACATATATTACTTTGGGTAAATTTACAACAATAGGTCAAAACATGTTGATTTATTTTAATATTTATTTAATTCATTTATTATTTCATTTTTGTTTCTTGATTTATGTTGCTTTATTACACTCCATTTCATTCTAAATTATATATTTTTTCTTTATATTTTACGTTATTTAATTGCTATTTTATTTAGTTAATTTATTTTTTTTTTATTAATTTTCATTTAATTTAATTTAATTTCATTTCATTTCATTTCATTTCATTTCATTTCATTTCATTTCATTTCATTTTATTTTATTTTATTTTATTTTATTTTATTTTATTTTATTTTATTTTATTTTATTTTATTTTATTTTATTTTATTTTATTTTATTTCATTTCATTTCATTTCATTTCATTTCATTTCATTTCATTTCATTTCATTTCATTTCATTTCATTTCATTTCATTTCATTTCATTTCATTTCATTTCATTTCATTTCATTTCATTTCATTTCATTTCATTTCATTTCATTTCATTTCATTTCATTTCATTTCATTTCATTTCATTTCATTTCATTTCATTTCATTTCATTTCATTTCATTTCATTTCATTTCATTTCATTTCATTTCATTTCATTTCATTTCATTTCATTTCATTTCATTTCATTTCATTTCATTTCATTTCATTTCATTTCATTTCATTTCATTTCATTTCATTTCATTTCATTTCATTTCATTTCATTTCATTTCATTTCATTTCATTTCATTTCATTTCATTTCATTTCATTTCATTTCATTTCATTTCATTTCATTTCATTTCATTTCATTTCATTTCATTTCATTTCATTTCATTTCATTTCATTTCATTTCATTTCATTTCATTTCATTTCATTTCATTTCATTTCATTTCATTTCATTTCATTTCATTTCATTTCATTTCATTTCATTTCATTTCATTTCATTTCATTTCATTTCATTTCATTTCATTTCATTTCATTTCATTTCATTTCATTTCATTTCATTTCATTTCATTTCATTTCATTTCATTTCATTTCATTTCATTTCATTTCATTTCATTTCATTTCATTTCATTTCATTTCATTTCATTTCATTTCATTTCATTTCATTTCATTTCATTTCATTTCATTTCATTTCATTTCATTTCATTTCATTTCATTTCATTTCATTTCATTTCATTTCATTTCATTTCATTTCATTTCATTTCATTTCATTTCATTTCATTTCATTTCATTTCATTTCATTTCATTTCATTTCATTTCATTTCATTTCATTTCATTTCATTTCATTTCATTTCATTTCATTTCATTTCATTTCATTTCATTTCATTTCATTTCATTTCATTTCATTTCATTTCATTTCATTTCATTTCATTTCATTTCATTTCATTTCATTTCATTTCATTTCATTTCATTTCATTTCATTTCATTTCATTTCATTTCATTTCATTTCATTTCATTTCATTTCATTTCNTTTATTTTATTTTATTTTATTTTATTTTATTTTACTTTATTTTATTTTATTTTATTTTATTTTATATTATTTTATATGAAATCGTTCTATTTACTTTGTCGTATATAATATGTACTCGTATATGCATGTATATACTATAAAAATATATAAATGGTGTTATTTGCTTGAAACATGCATATCGGTTGTAAATATAATAGAAATTCACATAAAATCACGCGATTGTAAAGACATGCATAGCGTGATTGAGATCTTATGCAACACAAAATTGGAGAATGTGCGTTTTTCTGCGTCCGTTCTTAATTGATGTATTCTTGGATCCCTAGAAGATAGACTTATTTGTACCAGGAGGTTTTACTCATTTATGGTTGCATGTTTGCATCTTCGTGATTAAAGTCAAAAATTATATGTCCACCTTAATTGATGACAATCAATTGGGCAAAATAATTTCAATAATTTTATGCCATGCAATAATATTTGACGTTGCAATTTTACGATATATAATATTAATATGTATGTACATATGTGGCAAAGCTATTAGGGATCACTTTTTATATAAAGGAAACAAGTGCATATATGTATGTATGACCATATTTAAATAAAAGTAGTTTGCAATTATTGTATATATTTAGAAATGAACGCATTCGCATTTAACAAAATATTCGCATTTAAAGAAACGGGGGAGTATGAAAATCAAGCTTTAATGAGAAAGCAAATAGATTTCAAATATTGCATTCCCTTTAAAAGGGCAGCTGCGTGTTACCTTTCAGTATGCGAGAAACCAACCTCAAATGTATGTATGTACATACGAATGAAAATGCTGTGCATATGTATGCATGTATGTACGCCTGCATATGCATATTCATTTCAACTACGTAAAAATAGATAGTTTAAAATATAGAAAATTGAAGTTTTATAAAAATGTATGAAAAATAGTCTATAATGTGAAATTCTATTGTTACAAGGAAACTTCTTTTCATGGGCGATTACGTAACACACACCGAGCTCCATGCGGCTTCGTCTATCTAGCAAAATACAGTACAAGTAATCACATTGATAAGGAAATGTACATATGTAATTTACATAAAGATTTAATCTCACACACTTGCTCTACCCATTCAGGTATAGAGAAAAGCCGTCTCGTGACTAATCCAATGCTTTACATGCTGAACAGGAGGCTCGTCGCTACGTCATCGTGAATTGAGTGACACGAGCAAGGACAGTGGCGTTAAGAAATTGGTATTTCGGTTAAAATTCATTTGTCTTCATTTTCAAGAAATTAATGAAAGCATTTTGGTGAGGTAGATACTTATTTTTAATATTTACAACCAATTTGAAATACATATACATTTGTAAATAAAATAAATAGATATACACATACATACATATACATATGTATATAAGCATTGGTGCATAAGGATATGAAAATGAAAAAAGAAATCGAAAAGTATTATTAAAGCATTTACAAAACGACACTTCACTTATTATTTGTACAGGTTTTCCAAACGCTCAGTTCACTTACCCTGATGTTGGTCATTGTTGTTATTGTTGTTGTCACACGTAGAGCTTTTAAAGTACGATTTATTAAAAAAAGTATTACAAATTCAGCTAAAAATGGCTACCGTCTGTCTAGCTAATAACCCTTTGAATTCCACACAGCGCTATCTCAAAGATGTATATTTTTTAGTTAAATAATTTTTTTATACTCTCTTTGCCGGAAAGTTTCAATTATTGGCGTTTTATTCCTTTTATAGTCAACTGACTGCAATCAGGCAGCAATGAAGTCGATTCGAAAGATTTTCAAACAACAAAATGAATAGCTCCAGTGGAACCAGCAAACGATGTGAATCGATAAAGAGCAGAACTTCAACTGAATTTTAAAATCGCACGATGTGGCTACAGGAGTCGATGCGAGCTGGCTGGTTAGCAGGTCATAGTGGTTTTCGAAACAAATGGAAGGTAAGGCTGGTGCTGGTTGTAGTGGTGGAAAAGCGCAACAATCCAATACATTGACACACTAACACTTATCTATATGTAAATAAATATTTTTAAATTTATAAAGAAGTAGCCCGGCAGCGGCGCAAGTATTCATCAATGGCAAATTGGAATTATTATAAAAATAAAAGCAATAATAACAATAATAAAAACAACTAAAGAGAACACATTGCCAACCAGTGGAGGGAAGTTAAGGCAACAACAAAAGATATTTTCTGATAACAGCCAATAAGCAAATAAAAATACACACAGCATTAACATACATATTAACATACATATATATGTATGTATTTATATGTACATATATAAATATTGTGCTTGCAAACTTGCTCGAAGAGAGTGAACCGGCTTGTAAATTATGTGCGGATTGCGCTACACACAGCAAACACTTTTACCATGGATGCGATATGATAAGAAGACGAAATTCGCGTGTGTAATGAAATGAAATAATTCTACTTCAAGATGTGGGCTAGAGCTGTAGAGCTTAAGCAGCAGTATTGCAAAAGAAGCATTTGTTGTAATGGAAATGAAGACAACTGACTCTTGTGTGGTTAAAATATTAAATATTAATTCATTAAAAGTTTCTTAAAATACATACAAAGAAAAAGACTACCATGAGCCAAAACAAATCCCGAACGAACGTGGAAAAATATAGTATTCTTAGAAGGCTTCATAGTGCGTTACAGGAGTATTTCTGAACAAACTGAGTATCAACAATTAATATTTGATAATTAATTTATTTCGTAATAATTAATCAAAAATCTTCTCCGACTATATTGAAATCTTTGACAACATTTTCGAGAGAAAGGAAAAATGCGGCAATTAAAGAAAATTCAACAGCATAAATCAGTTTCACAGTGGTCAAATGGCGAAATCAACTTTTTTCTGACCGAAAAAGTGTTGAAATGTTATGAAATTTCTTGTATATGTACATATGTTAGTGAAAACGGTAGGGTATTAAAGATTCGTCTACTGCTAACGCTAAATTTCAATATTTATCGTATTTCAAAACCCGCGAGTGTGTGTATTTTTCACTGTTCGGCTTGCTTTAGCCAAAGAATAAGTACAACGAGTACGAGTATGCTAATGAACGCTATTGTCATAAATTTGTTCGTTAACGCTTTGTTGTTGCAGGCATGCTTAAGAAACCAATTCAAACAGTGAGCATTCGTCACGTAGACCGTATTGAAAACATCTTCTGGAGCATTGCGGATGGTGCTGGTGCTCTAATCAAAGCATAAAATAGTTGAGCGTAATTAAAATGCCGGCTCTCTCTCATGTAACTATGTTGCTTACCATGCAAAAGCCCTATACAATACACAACATGTGTACATATGTACAGGCATATGTATATTCATATCTCTACCTTCACACATGTATGTATTTAAGTATACTTATCTCGGAATTTGTTTGTGTGATTTCGTGTCTTTATTTCATTCTTAGCATATAAATACATACATATGTATACATAGTATGAATGTATGTATGTACAAAAATATAAACATTTCGTATTTGAAGATAAATACACACGTGTAGGTATATAAATGGATTTTGAAAAGCGCTTGTGCCCACTTGATCATAGCGTGTGCATAATATATGTACATATGTATTTTGTTTGTTGTGCAAAATGCCGATTATTTATCATTATCATATTTGTCAACAATATGATAGCAGAATTCTTATTTGATTATCACTGGAAGCGATTTCTTTACCTTTCAATAAGTACGCAGTTTCTTGCCATTTACTTGACAAGTGGTGTTGGCCCACAATTTCGGCTTGGTGCTAATAAGTAAACAAGTACATATGCATGTACAAGCATATATGTACATACATATGTATATATACATGTGCATATATGTATGTATGTATGTTTGTATGGAGTTTTAAAATTACTTCAAAGGCTAAAAAGCAACTACGATATTTTTAATGAAATGATTTTTTTTTTTAGTTTCGGCAGAGAACATTTCATTTTGTTAATATGAAAAATAAAGTTAACGAAATGAAATTGTTAGTGTTTAAACCGTACATACTCATCGTTAACGTTAATTCTAAAATGGCTGCTTGCTATGTTAGTAACAGTAGTAACTGCACACCGCAAGTTATCGTTTAACATTATCTGTTAACGATTTAACATTAGCGATAGCTTTTCGTTTTGGGTAAAAACGACATAAAATTTATTTTGATAACTGTTTAAACAACAAAATTTGAAATTGTTGCAATACATTTGAATTTTTTAGATTAACGTGAAGATCTTTACGATGCAGCCTTGGTTTTAAGCAAAACGAACGAGCGCTGATAACCGATTTATATTAAGTTAATTCTTTTCATAATTCTTTAAAAATAGTTATGACAACTTATTTTTCTTCTTCTTCTTTGGCTTACTCGATTTAACAATAGCGCGCCATATCTTTCTTATTTTCGCTGTTCGAGGCCAATCGGGGATACTAAATAAAGCCCTTTTACCCCCTGAGCCTTGTTTTTCCTCTATTTCCACTAGTATTCTGCTTCGAATACTTTCAGAGCTGGAGTGTTTGCTCACATGTCCAGCGGTTACATTGATTTTTCCTTATTTTAAAAAACAATACACTTACTTAAAAACATATAAATTTTATTTTAATTTTCATACATACATATACGGTGGTAGTTCTGGAAAAACCAGTGGAAATCTTCAAATAAATAGGAAATAAATTTGTATAATTAAAATAGGTTGTAATCCTAACAAGAAATATCACTATCACTTTTCTCTTCTAAATTCCTAGTTTAATAGAATTAGTATATGTATGTATGTACAATATATAACTAACAACATAACATAACATCATTAAACATTATGTTTACAAACGTACATCTATTGTAAACTTCTCACACATACAGACGTTAATTTAACATTGTGTATTATTAATAGAAATAAGTTTGATTGTGTTTGATAATTCATGCATTATTAATTTGGAATGCATGTTTTATTTAAAAAAAAAACGGTTTTCCATTCCGGAGTTTCCTAGCGATTGGGTCCACAAACATATTCCTTCGAAAAAAGCAACCATAGTTATAGGAACATTTTCGTAAAAAATACAACCTTTAAATATAATCCAAAAAAATATATTATATAATGTTAGATATGCGCCGGTGGATAGATTTAACCCCAATATGTGAGGTCCTACTCTCTATTTAGGCAGCAGGAGAAGATAAGAAGCTACTAAGTTTGATGACCTGATTCACCTTTTGGAAGATCGAGGTGAGGTTCTTTTTCACATATTTGCGGAAGTATTCTTATTTCGATGTGTCGAGGATCTTTTTCTTCTCTCGAAGCTTAGTTACGAGGACGTATTTCACTACCTTCAGGCCACTTACGAAAACGCCCATCTTATTTGATATTTTTTATGAAGGACCCCAGCAACCGTCGAGCAAACCGCAGCGCTGACCCACGTCAGACGTTAATTGTATTTTGTTGTTGAAAAGTATAGTAATGCAATGAATTTATTTACTTATTTTTCAGAAATTCTATTAACTTTTAATAAAAATGATCGTTAAAATAAAGTCTGCTTGAGAAATACGACTTATTGTACAAATGGGACTTTTAAATAAAGAAAAAGAAGGAAATAAATATTATTTATTAAAATTCCCATTCTTAGTCAATTAAGAATTAATTAAAAATTATAAATTGGTAACATATGTTTTGGCATAATTAATAGTATGAAAGCAAAAGAGCATGATTTTCAAAAAGGTATTTATTTATTTATTTGAAAAGCTAATATTACAATAAAAAATTAAAATTTAGCAACAATAGACCTTATGCTGAAGGTTCAAAAAAGTTAATCGACCGGTTAATAGTACATTTACCCTATTATTTATTGAATAAATGGGAGAATGAAGGTGGTTGAAGTACAGTGAAACCGCTGGTATTGGTCTTTAGAAAGTGAAAATAAATAAATCGCCTAAGCAAGAGAAGCTTCAATTCATGCACAGCAAACGGACTCAGTAACCGAAAAGCGCGTGGCACTATGCGCAGGCACATTGGCTCGTTATTAATGTAAAAAAAAAAATATTTTTTCTAATTGTAATTTTTTTTTTATTTTCGGAAATAACCAGAAATCACAAGGGAAATATGGTGATAGAGGTAACTTCTTCGATCCTAGAGATCGCATGCCGACTCATCGGTTCGCTGCGATGTGGCCGTGATTTAAGACATGTAGAATTCGAACCTCGTTATCCATACATTTCCGTTCCAGGTAGCATTTGTTCTAAGGAGTGTTTCTGCAAAGAATACGTACTGTCATCTAGATAGAAAAATTTCTAATTCTCTAAGCTGCTCGTTTAATCCTAGATCTTCGCTTGAGCTCTGTTTTAAAACCCAGTACAAAAGTTGAGACAAAAACACTGATTACATCATTAAACATCAGGAGTTGTAAAGGCTTTTAGCATCTCGATTTAGTTGTGAAGTTCATATTACTTTTTCCACTATTTCTCATGGAATTTCTGTTGGTGTATAACTTTAGCCATATATATACGTTAGTTACACAGTAATATCGAGATCAGATATAGGTACTGAATATTGGCTGAATTTATTAGTTCGAAACACCCACTGATTGGAAAAGGTACACTTAGATTCCATTCCACAGACATCCTTTCATCCTTCGTTATTCTAGATGATTTCATTCATTATTCTATAAATGTTAGTTGGCGAGGTAAGTACTCTTGTCAATTCTTCTGCATAATAAAAAAAATATTTTAATCTATAAATCTAATGAATTTTCCATATCATTAATATACTAAATTAACTAACATTTCAATCCAAACTTCATCTCCGAATCTTATCAGCTTTTTCATATTTATTAATAATAAATATAATAACTCTACTTAATTAATGCTTATATATAAATAAATTAAATCTAAATGTAAATAACATAATTATATGAATAAATTGTTGTTATTGCTCCAAATGTATGTAGTCGCCGTGGCACATACCATCGTATTCATAATGATAGTCTTTCTTTCGGCATGCGCACATATTTGGAAGAAAACAGAAGCCGTATTTACCACAATCTCTGAAAATGACAATTTCGACATTGATTTATCTTCTAAATGAAAAATAAGAATTTCTTTGAAGTTCACAACATGCAAATTAATGTTTTTCAAAGTACAATAAATTATAATTGAAACTGTTAACCGCTGAAGTGATTTTCGGCCGAGCTCTAGTTTGTGGTATGCGCTTTCATATTTTCCTACAGTCTATATTAAGCCGCCCCCAAACGGCCGATGTACGTCTATGAGGAGCTTCCATTTCATATCAGAAATACACTCGGAATATCAACCCCATTCCTTGTCGAGGGTCTACCGCAATTAGAAAAATTAACTTAATTTTTTATTTAAATTAATTTTCTATAATTTTGGATATTTTTTCAACCACGACTCGGACTCTGGCCTTCAGAATGGCAGTACACAATGCTAACCACTCGGCTGTTGCGGCCGCCAACATCTTATTAGATACATACTCCTACTACATGCAGCATGAGGCCATGTGTAGAAGTTCACGGAAATGTGGAAACTTTTTGGCTGCGATTTACGTGGGAATATTCAGAAACGACTACTTTACCCAGAACAAGTGTAGTATGGGTAGCAAACAATCATCAACTAACTTTTAAGGAGCATGACTTTAGGACATGCACCTGGAATGTTCGATCACTGAATTATAGAGCTGCCGCTGCGGAGTTGGTTCATGACAACTAATGCTGACATCACCGTCGACCAATAAGGGCGATGGACGGAAGAAGGTTTGTCCTTGTGAATTATACAAAGGAGCGAAATTTTGTTGTTGGATTTATGGTGGGAGAGAGGCTCCATCACCAATACTTGCGTCCAAGCGAATTTCTTCAACATATCCCTGATCTGATTTGCATCCACACCCAGAAGGACGTGTGAAGAAGGATGATGTGAGCAAAAATACTTTTTATGAGGGCCTTGAGTGGATTTGCCTGCTGCCGCCGCCATGGTATCAGAACCGTGGTAGGCGATTTTAATGCCATTGTCGACGGTAGGGTTTCTCTTGACACAACAGTCGGGAAACTTAGTCTCCACGTCGAAACATTCACATCGAAGTGGAGGAAAAACAGATTATTTATTAACTCGCTCAGTTGCGGTCGACCCCAGCAGGTGTGGAGTGGGATAGGTACCGAGAGCTGAAGAGGGATTAATACACATTTGCAGAAAAAACAAGAAAGAGACTGAAATGCGTGAAAGGGTTGAGCTTGAGAGGCTGGCCGATAGTGTAACGCTCAAAAAACGATGCAGTAACTTGTAGAAGATTTCAAGACCAGAGCATACTTATGCAAGAACCGAGAAGGTTTTTGACAGCCAATTTCCATGTTATACCCCCGAGACTAGGTGGCTTACGGGCAGTGCAATTAAAATATGGAGACGAAGCACAATTGATTGTGCACATAATTATTATAACTAAAATCCTAATTATGGCCAAGAACAAGTAAGGAAAATGCTAGAACTGACAGGTGCTTCGAAGAGCATAAAACATCTTTATCAGACATCTGCCATTATTCTCATTAATAAATAAAGTTTTTTGTAGAATTTTTTTACTGAATCCTGTTCGATGAAAACTCGGTTCTCTCGTTCTCTCTTTGGGAGGGCGCGAGGAGGAGGAAAATAAACTGATGACTACACACCGTTCGACTAGCTTGTTTCATTTCCCATTTTACTGCACTCATTTATATGCTTAAAAAAATACTTACTGCTTACAAACTGGAGCGCAGAGTTGACCAAATACTGCGTCCTGAGCAGTGTATCCTTGCGCGCATGTACATTCACCGTTGGCATTGCACTTGCCATATAAGCAACGTCTAGAAAATCTCAAAATTTTGGAATTCAATGTACTTCTACAACGACAAGTAAAGATTTTCCACTCACCCGAGACAACGATCACGAAAAATATGATATTCGCGACAACGTCTCGCCACCGCGTCGAAATGAAACCCTTCGCGACTGCAGAGGCAAAGATCAGGCGCGGCACAAAAACCACCAGCGCTCTTACAGCCGGGTAAGCACTCGGATGCGCACACTAAACTCTCGCCCTCCTTAAATGAAGTCTGATAGTAGTCGGCACAAGGGCAGACGTCATCCTCAAAGCAGCTACCATTTACACAACGGATTGGACAGCGGGAGACGCAATATTGCGTGTTTATAATCAGCATCTCATAGTCGGAGCAAGGCGTTCTTGAAGGACGCCAGTTGTGTGAGCGCAGAGAATGCAATGGATTGCGTTTAGCAGCAAACGATGGCGATGGAATTATGCCGAAAATGAGACAAAGTAATACAATTGTATATCCCATTTTATGAAGTAATTGTTGCTTTGAGAGCTTGGGAGCCGTAGGTTTTGTTATAACAAAGGTTGTATGCAACATTTTGAACACGGAACTCACAGTCCAATTATGCTATGCACTACGCTGGATGACTTCAATTGACGAAATGCGACTGCGTAGAACTCGTCGCAACGAGTTTAGATCAAGCGATTAAAATGAATTGTTGATTGATAGTGAAAGTGCGGTGCTCTGTCAAAGCAAACTCAGTTGTGTGCTCAAGTAATTTGTATGCGCGCGTAAGTATTGTAATTGGCGCATATTACTCAATATTTGTTTATTTACATATCATGATAAAACTGTATTGCTTATTTAATAATCAAGAGTGGGCAGATAAAATTTGGGATGCCAGTAGAGAGTAAGAGAGTAAATGCATGCGAGTAGAAGCGGTATAAGTAGCACTGATTTCACTGCAGTGAAATTATTAGGTATTTCTATAAATGAAGCTCGGACAAATGTTTTGAAAAAGAAAATGTTTAATAATCTTGCATTACACATTAAATACGTTTTTTTTTATTGTTTCGAAGTATTTCAATAAATTTTTTAATAAAATTGGCAATTATATAGCAAATTTAACTTATTAATTGTTTTCAAAATATTAGGTCAATTAAAAAGTTCGTTCGGTTTTTGATTGATTTTTCAAAATATGATAACTTTGTGTACATTTGTGCGCTTTAAGTCAAATATGCGCCGTTTTGTTCGTAAATTTGTTGCCAACGAGATGCCAACTTCATTATACCCCTCTCGTAGAATGCTGAATCCCTATTGGCAAAAAACACGAAGAGCCAATTTTCACAGGCCTCTCTTGAGGCCGACTTCTCACCTTTAAGCGCGTTCGCCACGGACAGAAAAAGATGGTAGTCACTTGGTGCCAGGTTCGGACTATAAGCTGGGTTCATTAGGACCTCCCATCCTAGCTCCTGGGACTTTTGGTGCGTCACCAAAGATGTGTGTGACCTGGCGTTGTCCTGATGGAACACAATTCGGCCTCTATTGCTCAAAGATGGCCTCTTCTGGATGAGTGCTACCTTCAAGCGGTACATTTATTGGCAGTAGAGAGCGTTTGAGCGTTTGGCCATAGGGGAGCAGCTCGTAGTAGATGATTCCTTGCCAATCCCACCAAAACACACAGGAAAACCTGGTGCATCTTTGACATCGAAATTACCGAAACGGAACCTAGCAAACCACTTTTGTGCTACACGTATCGGTCCGATAAACTAAATTAATTTTTGCAGTCGCGTTGGCTGCTTTTTCGCCTTGATCGAAGAAATAGTGTAAAATATTACGAATTTTCTCTTTGCTGGTGTCCATCTTTGACGATCGCTCACAACGTACTGAGTCAATCAATCGAAAAACTGTCAAAAACAAACTTTTAGCGCGAATAAACCCGTTTGAACGCTGAAGCGATTTTTGGCCCAGCTTCCCCTCCAATTTGTGGTTTTGGGCTTGAAATATTTTTTTTAAAATTGAAGGACCTAAAGTTTATACTAAGCCGCTTCCGACCGGCTGATGGTTTTTGTGAGTTGCTTTATTTCATGTCAGAAATACAATCGGAGGGGTTAAAATTTCCTGCCGAGTTTAATTTTTTATTTAAATTAGTTTTCCATAACTTTTTAGATGTTGGTCGTACCACGATTTGAACTCGAGCATTCCAAGTGGCAGTACACAATGCTACCCACTCGGCGATCGTGGCCATTATGTACATATGTGATCCTAATAAAACATATATTTGAAAAATTATGAATTCATTTTTTTTGGTAACGCCACCAGACACAGTCACAGGTTTAGCGATTTTTTACTATGCCCAAAGTGCAAGGCGTAGCCTGATGAATCCATGGTCCGGTTGGCCGAAGACCACCAAAGGTGAGTAAGAATTTTACCCAAAGGTACACCGACGGTCTCGTTAATACCGTTAATATTCGTATAACTACCGAAATTTTTGTTTGAAATTAAAATATATACATTTGTTAGGACGACTTGATTGTGATTTTTTGTTTAAATTTGAATGAAAGGCTTTTGAATTTTATATTCAAATTGTTACGGTGTTTTATAGATAAAATTATGCAAAATTGAACCAACTTCGCCAGCCATCAAACATATGATTTCGCTCTTGTTGTAACCTTCTATACTATAAGCCTTGATTCGAACCGAAATCCCTTGTCTAAAGTGATCAAATTAATCGAAAGAGCGAAGGTGTTATACGAGTGCACAGATAGAACACCTGTCAATGCACACTTTGGCACTTAAAAAACCTTGACTGACAAGAATATGAAAAGCAAAACAGAGAATAGAAAAAAGTCAACCACAAAATGAATGAATCAGACAAAGCCACAACCACAGAATGAATACCAAGTGTATTTATGTATTTTACTTTTATTTATATTTTATATAAAGCAGTGCAGGTATATATATATTCCAAGACTTGAGCAGAGAAAGGAGGGAGTCTGTATCTGTTTCAATGGCAAGTGCAAATATCAAGGGCGTCGCTTAGTAAACGAATATACGACGTTACTACTCTTTCTAATAAAACTGCCCAAAATACTTTAGAATTCACCGTTCTACTAGTGCCAAATATTGGGTCACTTGATTATTATATTATGTAAAAGTGTTTGCTGTCGCCTCATCTTGAAAAAACACTTTCATCTGCTAGCTAGTTGCTATATACAGCCATGAGAAGAGATTTAGGCCACATGTGTCGAGTGTTTAGCATTCCGTACTACCACTCGGAGGACTCGAGTTCAAATCCTGGTCCTGGTACGACTAACATCCAAAAGTTATAGATAATTAATTTAAATAAAAAATTAAGTTTAATTATATACTTATATACTATAATTGTTTTTTTTTTTTATTTCATTCTAATTGTCTTTAGAATACACACACAGTCTGCGCTAAGATCAATGATTTTCGATCTCACGAAAGCTAGTACACATCATGTGGTATGCTCGAAAATAAGGGACATCCAAATAGATTTAAAACACGAAAGCTATCCACAGTCATACTTCGAGTCCAGACGAAAAAAGTTATAAGAAGTATACTTTCGGCAAAAGAAAAGTAGTTAGCATTGCGTACTGCCAATCGGAACGCCAGTGTCTGAGTTTCACCAAAAATACAAAATTATAAATATTAATTTTTATAATTGTATTCGCCCCTCAACGTGGAATGTCAAGCATTAAGGAGTATTTCTGTCATGAAATATAAGCTCTTCATAGAAACCCGCTCGGAAGTGGCTTGGAATAAACTGTAGATCCCTCCACTTGCTGGAAAAACGTCAAGACGCAAAACCACAAACTGGAGGAGTTGGCCAAAAATCGCTTCCGCGGCTACAGTATATATATAATATATTGGAGCTATGTTCCTTTCCAAAATACATAGTCGATGGGGTAAAATAGTAATTATCACAAGAACAGGAACTTTTTCCCAATTTTCGGTCTTACGATAGTTAATTAAAGAACAATTGGAGCGCACCTCGGTCTGGTATCTATGTTGGGCATGTGATGAAGATTCCTCTCATCTTTCTAGTTGCCAAAAGCAATTGATGTGTTTTTTGAGGTTTTTAAGAGAGTTTTGGCGCCTACAGATGCAAACTCCAGCTTAGATTCCGAATCTCAATCTAAAGGTGAACTTGTGGAACATCAAAAATATGTAAAATTGATAAGAAATTTTGACTGGTGTATAGAAAGTATACAACTCAAAACTTTGGACACCGAAAAACGCTAAAGAAACAAATTTCCACTCCGACGAAAGTAAATAAAAAAAAAAAAAAAAAAACAAATAGAGTAACAAACTATTTGTAACAAAAATAACAATTTGCCTTTGTTCATCGCTGCATCTTCACATCCTTTTAACAATTATAAGAAATCTCTGAGAGACCATTAGATTTGTTTGCCCGCGGGGTTCACTTACATATGATTTTCAGTTGACTTTAGTCCACATGTTTCGTTCTACAATATAACAACGTTTAAAGAGCTTGGGAGGGACTAAGTATAATGGTAAACGCCTTTCTCAAGGCAAGACGATCTTAATCCCAGAAGTCATCTCTATGATTGCGATTAATCTCCCATGTATACAAGTTAGCCACTATCTCTTTAAGTATGAACATAGCACCGTCTTTTTGTATGGAGATCTTTAATGCCATTCTTTTCCAAATATTTCAAATTTGATTGAGCAAAAAATCCTCCCTATGCTTAATAGTCTCTACGCCTCAGACATCACTTCATGACGACTATTGTTAGCGCACATTATTCCCAACGATCAGGAGTCATACTGTCTTTCAAAAGCTAAAAAACAAACAAAACAAAAAAACAACAACAACAACAATAAAGTTGTATTTTATGTAGCAAATGTGCGCGTCTGGGTTTAATTATCAGTCAGCAGTAGACTTATTGGTGCTTACATATGTGCACCAAAGGAAACGCACGTAATTAAAATGAAATAAAAAGTCGGAGGCAATCAAATAGAATAAAAAAGAAGGCGAAAATGGAATAGCATTGTAAAGAGGAAAGCTTATTGTAATCGAATTGCAACGTCGGAGTTCCCCTGCCACATATGTACATATGTATGTAGGTTCGCATAAAATTGGCCACCAGTGGCTTAGATGGACGAATGGCATGCGGTGGAGTGTGAAAAGAGGTAGAGCTATCGAAACAGTGGCCCATTATAAGCAGCTGCCGATGAGCATCTGCGCAAGTATGCTATCATGCGCGCGGCAATGTGTTGGCAGACAAGCCGACAAACCAGCCATCAGCCACCAGCCGGTTGGCCAACAAGTCATCAGTAATCTCTGATGTCAGTATATTTGTTTATATATTTATGTGAATGGGTTAGGTTTAGATTGTTCGTTCGTTAAAAAATACGCGTATCACCCTCTTCTAACCGCCCACTAATGCAGCGCGTTCGTTCATTATGTGTACGGATTCTCTCAAATCGATCGCGTAGAGAAGCTCCAACTCGCTGGGAGATAATTTGCTTTGTCCCCGGCTTTTTTGTTGCTCATTCAAATGTGCTATAGCCAGTGTGGCATTTAGTTTTATAATTTTTGGTAACGTCGTGATTGTAATATACATTGGTAGCACTATCCTTAATTGTTATGCCAAAAGAGAGCGCGATCTGTGAACCATTTTGTTTGCAGCAGCTGTTGAAATCAGTAGACCTCAATTCCCTCTGCGAATTTTCTTTTTATGGCCTCATTGAGTCGAAATGGGTTCGAGTATTAACTTGAGTTTTGGAAACAAAAAATGTTGTTGTTGTTATTGTAACCGCAAAAATATTCCCCAAATGAATCCGGGTCGTTCCGGTATAAAGACCCGACTGTCGCGGGAACTATTGGATTTTAGTCACGTCTTACGACACATTGCCTTATCGCGGTTAAATTCATAAACCCAGAAACCGCAGGGGGTGTTTAAGAGTTTTTGGTCTTAAAATTGACACAACTACAGCTCGGTGCGATGGCGCATTATCGTCATGAAAGTTTCCGGGAATTTTTGGCCCACAATTCCGGCCGTATACGACGGATGCTTTCTGCCAAACGCTCAAATAATACTTTTTATCGACCGTTTGTTCCGTTGAACTGAATTAAAGATGCACCAAATAGCGAATATCGCAAAAAAATAACAGTTTCCGGAAACATTCTCATAGTACACACATATTGTATTTCTCGTGATCTTGATGTTTGATATCTCTCATTGAGCTTTTAATAAATATTATGAGAAACAACTTTACATTTTCTAAAGAGTCCGCTAGAAATATTTAAGAATTGCTGCTTTTTATTTATTTGTAGAACATAGAAATGGGAATTCTATTAGCAAATGCCGCTTTTCGAAGAGCAACACTGGCTGCAACGGTTGTGAGTGATGGCGCTCTTTACGGGGTGGCAGTTGGTTCGCTAGCAAGTAGCTTCCTATGTTCTGCCGCACGAAGTGTTTGTTTTCTCGACCATTTCCACTACAAAGCATTGCGTGTGTTGGCGCTGTGCCACCAAAGCACAACAATTTTCGTTGGATTTTGATTCAGTCTTGTCGTAGCCCTCATTGTGGCAGCAACGATTTTATTCAAACTTACATTTTGTGCGTCTGCGCTGAAATTGGTGATCGAATTGAATACATTTGCAGTATCGCGTTGGCGTCGCTACCAACTTTTCATTCAAATTGTTTTTGTTCTTTTTTGTCCTCTTCTAAATTCGTTGTGTTGTTATTTTTATTATTTTACTCTGGAGTAACAGTGATTTGCTTCAAATTGCCAGATCAGTTTGCTGGTTGCCGTAATGTTGTGTTAAAAAGGCGTGAAGTGAGAAAAATATAAAACTAAAACAATATCGAACATATGCATGCGTATGTAAAAATAAAATAAAAATAAAACAAAAAGAATAAATCGCCGACGAAAGGAGCGAACGGAGTGGCGGATCTAGTAGCAAAGGAGCGTTGCTGATTCACTCAAGCAAAAGTAATGCAAACTGAATGCAGGCATTCATTCGAAAAATGTTATCGTGAATAATGAAATTTGTCGTATTTAAAAATAGTGAGAATAATACATCTGTTAACGACTTGCACTCACATATGTATGTATGTATGTGCATAGATAGATATGCGTACAAAGTTTGAATGGCCATTCAAGTCTTTATAGCCGTTACAAAATTTTTGCATACGATTGAATTTGGTAAATATGTACTTAAAATGGTTTATGGCTGCTCATCTGGTTTAAAAATCACAAAATTACACTTTGGGTTGCGGACCCAAGGTTTAATAAGTACCTTTTACTGAAGACTGACTTGTTCTTAATTCTTGTCTGGATCTCAGCCTTTTCGAGGGTATTTCTGATATGAGCTAAAAAGCTAAAAACATCCAAAACAATTCATCTGCCTTTGAAAAACCGCTCAAGAGATTACATGCGTTTATTTCGAGTAAAAAATTGTATATTTCCAACAATTTTTTACACACCTTCATACATATGAATGTATAAATAAAATGATTTATTCAAACATTTTATTGCTTAGAGATACATACTCGTAGATTACATTTGAAAAATAAATTCTCAAATATTCATAAGCCATCCATTGTGATATCATTTCCGGTGACGTCTCATCTGCGTTGACAGTGGAACTCTTGACAGAATTATCCGAGCGTTTCGAGAAAAAAGCATTTAAAGTTTAAGGGGTTGCATAGGTCTTGAAACTTCAAAGAATTCATTTTTTCATAATTTTTTGTATAAAAGTGGAAAGTGACAGCAATATTTTACCCAAGTTTCAAGTCGATCGAGACGAAACTGTAGAAATGAGAAGGTTTTGTAACTCGCCGTCTTTGTCATGGCTTGACCGAACGCGTTGACTTTAAACGCGCTTTTCTTAAAACACTATATCGAAATCGGTATTCAATATTTCTCAACGACTATTAAAGCTATCGAGTTCAAATTTTGCACACTTCTTTTAAGTATGTTTTTTTGTAGTCCCTGAACGAAGGATTTATTTTGTTCTTTGATTTCAACTCAATTTACAAGCCAAAATGTGGCCTAATTTTATGCAAAAACTTATTTTTCTTGTAAAAAAACGCTACAAAAAATTCAATTCTTTTTTATCTTCATTCAGGAACAAGGAAATTTTAACTACTTTAAGAAAAAGTTTGGATTTTTGGTTTCAGTTAAAAATTGAAAAAGTTATCATGACTACCGCCAAAAGCACTTTCTTGCGGACGGTCCACTGGTCTACTTCACGACACTGCCAACGCCTTAACTTATACTATTTTTCATTCAAATTTTCATCGAATGTTGTCCACATATTGTACTTTTATATGTTTACAAAATAAATTGTATGCTTTATTTAGTATTTTTTTAAAAATTAGAGAAAATATCTTTTTTTTGGCCTTTAAGGCCTATGTAACCTCTTAAAACACTGCTGAGCCTACCTGACCTTGAGCGGCCACCTGCGCAAAATTTTATTCTGATCGACTTGAAAATTAATATACTCAAAATGTTGTAGAGATTAATCTTAATATAATATATAAAAATGAATGTTTGTTTGTTAGTGCAGTTAAGGCTCGAGAACGGCTGCAATAATCCTGCTGAATTTTTCAGAGGTTGTTCGTTTTGGATCTGGGAAGGTTTAGAAATGAAACAAATCATATACTTTTCCTGGGGAAAAGTCAGAAAATTGGATGATTCCAAAAAGCGACTGTTTTTCATACATATTTTGTGCTTTTCAATGTGATAGCTTCGTTACAAAGCAGATAATAATAAGTTTGGTCTGAATGAATCTCATGAAATTTCCAGATATTTTACTTGTGCTTTCCCGGACTTTATTGTAATTATTAGATGACCTATAAATGCTCAAAAATTATTAATTTAAACAATTATATTAGATAGAATTTTCATATTGGATGATGAGTATTTATTCTTCGTATTTGATTAATAGAACTCTTGCCATTCAAAAACAATAGTTCTTCAAATTTGTAGTGTACCTGAGTTTTTTCCATCAAACCGAGGGAGCTTCAATTTATTCTAAGCCACCTTCGAACGACAATTAGAAAAAATAATTGTTTCAAATTTTGGATTTTGGTCAGATGTTTGACCAATGGCATTTAATTTTTCACAAATTGCATTAAAAACTACCAAATGTCGTATTAAAATTATAATCTAATGTGAATGTGGTTCAGTAAAGTTCTGTAACAGTTCTTACTGCCCTTCGGATCACCAAAGAGGACTATTGTGCCGTTTACCGTCGACGTACGGTGGATAAGAAATTATATTTTGCAGACACTGTAGCTGATCGATTACTGTCCACTTTTAGAAAATAATCAAAAAGTCAAATCTTTACTATATCAATGTAAGATTCCTAATTACAAAAAAAAAATAAAAAAATTAAAATAAAAATAGAAAGTATTTATTTTATTAAACAAATAAAACAAATTCAGTAAACACAAAGGGCAACCTTATAAATTTTTTAAATTTATTATTTATTAATCATTTGTGCTACGTGCCTTTATAAACTGTCCCAGTTTTTAGTGACCCTTTTCTTACCCTTTTCTTCGCTCAGAGCTTATTAATTTCTTCTATTTGATTATTGTGTTATTTTTTGTTTGTTTAACTTGTATAATACATATTTGTCGTACTACCGTGCCATTATTTCATTGGTTAATTGTTATTGTACAAGTATTTTGTTCGTTTTTTTTTTTTCGTAAATGCCAATCGCCATAATAACCCATGCGGTAAGCACAGTAACAATGACTTGAACTGTTTGTTTGTCTTCCCTATCTGCATTATATATGTACATATGTATGTATTTATTTGTATCCCAGTTTATTTTCCGTTCCCTGTTTGACTGGCTTTCCTTTGGGCTACCTCGGTAAGCTGCTTGTCTGGCTGGCAGCCAGAAAACGTCAGCGGCAGCAACAGCGAAAACAACCGCACCCCAAAAAATATAACTAACAGCATAGACGCACACTTAACGTTAACGTTAACGTCCACAACGCACTCCCCGCACATGCATACGTATGTATGTACATACATACATACTCTCAATCCAACATATTTTGCTATTTCCTATGGTCGGCTACTCGTTGCGTCTGCCACCCGCACCAGTCAGTACGCAACTGTTGGAGTTTGGCGACCTCGAATTGTTTCTCATTCATATGTGCACGTATGTATGCATATTGATATATCCATATACATATATATATATATTTTCCTACATACATACTCGTACATATATATGAAATAGTCAAGCGTTGTTGCCCTTAGTGAATACGAAATTAAGTACTATTGTTGTACCATAATTGTTAATATAATTTTTTTTTATTTCGCTTTTATTTCTATTGATCAGAGCTTATCAAAAAGCAAAACAGAAAATGCAGAAAAAAAGAAGTAAGAAAGGCTTAGTTCTAGTGGAACCAGATATTAAATATATATGTATGTAATTGGCGCTTTATAGGTACTGTAGAGCTTTCAGTCAGTTGAAGTTTTCCTTACAAATGGAGTAGCCTAGAGTTCCCCGGTTTGATGGTCATTAGATACCCAGTTTTTTTACATTTTCTTTCCGGCAGAAAATGAAATGATGAGACGAAATATTTATTGTGGAACACCCCGTTTTGTTTTTCACTTTGTGGCTAAGATTCGATGACATGAGTGAAATGCTAAATTCATTTGCAACTGAACCTGACTTGTTTCTCTTGTATGGTAGTTGCTGTGGGCCTACATATGTGAAGATGTCAAGCACTTTCGCAGGGAACTTGTCACACAGTTCACACAAGTGGACCCCCCCTATATTGGGCAAAAATCAGGCAAAGTTTGTATTTTCTTGTGGGATAATGAAAACGGCGTACGAACTTCTGGTTTTGTCTATTAAATTTGTTTATTATTTGAGATTTTAAAACGCCAAAAGAATAGTCGAAATTCAAAATGACGGCTACAAAATGGCGATTACCGTCAGTCTCTGCGCGAAAAACGTGGCCCAATAACTTCAAGCCTGCAGCCTCTTGTAGTAAACTGAATAAAAATTGGTTGCCATTACTTGAAGATCATGAAAATTTCTACGTCCTGAACCTTAATTTTAAAAATTTTAACAATTAGTTTGTTGCATAATGCTTATTACAATTATGAAGTTAAAATTTTTGTTACTTTTTTCACTTCAATTGCATTAAAAAATATAAATAATTAATTATTAATGCTAATTTTAGATAATCGGACGGATAGATAAATTCCGGGGATTGTAGTTAGATCGGAAAACAGGGTTTCGAGAAAACCGTAAAAGTTCAAAAATTAACATACTTATGTACATTCCTTTAAGCGAAAATACGTTTTGCAAAAAAATACTTCGTCTGATTCCTCGTGATCAGTAAATTAGTTCGTGAAAACGCGTTTACAGTTGAAAGCGCTAAGCCTGCCTGACTTTGAGCGCGCACCTTCCCAATGCTGTATCTGCGAAAGTTTTATTCGAATTGACTTGAAAATTTAGCATAATGTTCTTGAGATGTTGTTAAAATTAATAAAATAATATTTCCAGATTTCTAGAAGCTGCGAAGTGTCTGTTACCCCTTAAGTCAAGACTGTAGTGCTGTGTCATTAAAAAGTAGGTTAGGCCCTTTTGACGTCGATGGCATTAGTAGTCTTTGAATTTATTTCGGTTTATGTTCCTGTTTCGGTCGTACTATTAATGGTGGGTATGTCTGAAAAAAAACATCACTCTTCGTAATTGTTACCAAACCTAATCAAGATAATTAAACAAATGAAGGCTGGAAATAGGAAAAACAAATCGGTGCGTTTCATCATAGCACGAAGTTACGTCGAAAATTTTAAACAGTTATACTAACGGTTATTTATAAATATTATTGCCGCTTTGTAACCGCTGAAGCGATTTCTCGGCCGAGCTCCTCCACCAATTTGTGGTTTTGGGTCTTGATGTTTTTCCAACAAATAGAGGGANGAAAATACAAAAAGACACAATGTAAACCCCCCCC